GTGCTCTCTCGGAGCGTTAATTCAATTTGGCCAGTGCTGTTCCTCCGGGTCAATCTCGAGTTATTCAATTTGACTCGGTTGGTGCGGTTACTTCATTGAGAGGACTCATGTTGCGAGCATCAGTTCCAGCTCCACTTGGTTGGCGCTGTCACTTCTTGAGGGGCCTTCGGAAGCGTGCTTTTTAATACCAAGTTGGTTTGTTCCGCGCTGTTGCTTCACGTGAGGCGTTTCATGGAACATGCGTGCACATTTCAAGTTCGACTTGTTTGGCGTTGTTGCTTCATGAGGTGTTTGGAGCGTGCGCTCACATATCAAGTTTGACTTGTTTGGCACTGTTGTTTCATGAGGGGACTCATGGACTGCGCATCCACAACGCTCGACTTGGTCGGCGGTGTTTGTTCATGAGGGGTCTCATGTGTTTTGCGCAATTGCTTCAGGTGCTTCAGGGCGTTTCCTGGAGCGCTGATTCAATATGGCTAGCGCTGTTCCTCCATGAAGGCTTTCCTGGTCCATTCCACGTGACTAGTTTGGGGCGGCTGCTTTATGAGGGGACTCATGGAGCGAGCATCAGTTCAGATCCCACTGGGCTGGCGCCGCTGCTTCTTGAAGGGCCTCATGGTGCGTACGTTCACATCCCAAGTTTGGCTTGGTCGCTGGTGTTGCTTCATGAGGTGTTTCATGGAGCGTGCGTTCACACATCAACTTCCACTTGGTTGGCGCTGTTGCTTCATGGGGTGTTCCATGGAGCGTGCGTCACATATCAAGCTTTACTTGTTTGTTGCGGTTGTTGTTCAAGTGGGGACTCATGGACCCAGCATCATAGTCCAAGCTCGGCGCTGTTTGTTCATGAGGGGTCTCCTGTGTTTTGCACAGTGGCTTCATGGGGTCTTGGAGTTTGGCCAGCGCTTTCATGGCTGATTTAATTTTGACTTGATGCGGTGCTTCATGAGGGGACTGATGGAGCGTGCGTCCGCTCAAGTTCTGCTGGATTGGGGTGCTGCTGCTTCATGGGGGTCTCATGAAGCGTGCGTTACAACACCAAGTTTGGGTTGCTCTGCTGCCTCATGCGAAATCTCCTGGGGCTGCGTTCGTATAGCAGGTTTAACTTGGTTGGTGCTATTGCTTCATGAGGAGCTTCATGGAGCGTACGTTCACTTTTCCAGCTCAACTTGTTTGGCGCTGTTGCTTCATGAGGTGTTTCAGGGAGCGTGCGTTCACATATCCCATTAGCGACTTCCTTGACACTGTTGGTCACGCGGGGAGTCATGGACTGAGCATCGTACTCCACGCTCGACTTGGTCGGCGGTCCCATATGTTGCACAGTTGCTCCAGGGATTCTCTTGGAGCGTTAATTCCATGTGGCCAGCGCTCTTATTGCTCCATGAAGGGTTTTCATGGTTCATTTATGATTTTGACTTGCTCGATTCGGTTGCTTCATGCTTCATGGGGCACGTGATTCGACTTGCTTGTTTGGTTACTGATGAGGAAACTCGCAGAGTGAGCGTCATAGTTCAAGTTTGCCTCATTCAAGAAACGGATGTTGCGAACATGGATGTATTGGGAATACATTCCGTCCAAAAGTAACTGGGCTGATGCAATTTCAAGGCTCGGTTGGTCCGATCCGTGGTGGCGAACCAACGGATTCACCTTGCCCGTTCTGTCTATGGCACCTACCGCTTCCAGCAGTGATTCGTGTCATGGAATTTCTCTAAGTGCGTTGGGTATGTTTTAAAGTGCATTGGAGTGGTTTCCGGAGTGACCGGAAGGATATCACAAAGGTCTGATTG